GGGGATGTGGGGCATCCCCTCCCCAGGCTCCAAACCCCATACACACCCCCACAGTCCGCTACACCTTCACAAATTCCCCCCCACACCCACCCCCCAACAATACAAAGTACTTGTATAAGTTTGCATATTTTTAGTTTTTCTGCACATAATTTTGAGTTTTTAGTCATACGATTAAAATTGCAATTAATTGAGACTTTTTTTTTAATTGCACAACTAATTGCAATCATTTTTTTTAATCACTTAACAGCCGTAATCTTAACATAGGGCTGTCTTTGCACATGACTAATACTTCTTCTTTTCACTGCAGGGATGTTCTCAGGCAGCTGCAGGAAACTAAGTTTGCAGCAGCCTCCAAGAAGCCCTAGAAATAGTCAAGGAGCATCAGAACATGGAATAGTCTGGCTACTCCTGGCAGTCATTCATTTATGGGGGGGAAGGGGAGTCAGGAAGGGATGAAACTATGGCTGGTTATTTATGTTCTGCACCAGCTGAAGATTCCTTAGGAAAAGGGAATCTTCTTCTGCTCAGCTAGAACTGCCTTGAGTATGTAGTGCTGTGACAGCACAAGGCACAGGGATTGGTTAGAGTATGCCCCATCGTATCAGCATTTAATGCATGTCATATATTCCAAGGGGGGAGCAGTAAGCTGTATGGCAGTGACATTTTCAATGTTCTGTAATTTGGCTCACTAGCTTTTTCCTCTCTCCTTTGTTTACTGCCTCAGTAACCTGTGAGGGAAGGGTGAAAGGCCAGCCAATGAAAACCACAGAACATTGAAAAGGTTAAAGTATATGATTATAAGTGCATTAAAAGTTTATAGTTTCCTACAGACTGTGCTAGAGATAAAATTATGTTGTCTTGTTCTCATGACAACGAAGAGAAAATGGGACAAAAGAAGCTGTTCTTGTAGCAAAGATTCTAATGGAAAGCATTTAACTCTTTCTGGCTGCAATCTGCAGACTGCATCCCCAGAGGTTTTAATTTGAATACAGGATAATCCACTAAAAAAGTTGCCTGATTAGCACTAGGCACTGATCTTCATGCTTCTCATTTTTATCTGCAATCTGTCCTAGCACACCTAAAAGTTAAATGTTCCTCCATGGTTAAAAAGACTAACACCTGACTTTCTGATTCAGTGGATAACATGTTCCCATCAAACTCTTTCAGATCTGTGTGGTTTTGTTTTTTTATTTTATTTTAGAGGTGGTACAGAATAGCTCTTTAAGGCATGGAGTTCAAAAGATATTCTAAAGTTAAGTGGCTGAGGTTTGAAAGCAGCGCAAACCTGCAAAAATGCCTCATGACAAGGGCGCAGAGTGGCGTGGGCTGTATTTTTTAATATTTTTTTTTTTGTAAAACTATTCACTTAGGAAAGTACATTGAAGTGAATTATCTCAGTTACTTCTTAGAACACAACTCCAGGGATGCCATCTGTTAGAAATGGTAAAGTGTTGATTAATATAAGAGCCAGGCTGAACTTCCATCCATCTACAAACAGGAGTGACTTGGAGTCTGATGAAGTGAGATATTCTGGACAGAACTCACTAATAATTTCTTGTTAAAGACACCAGGAGCAACAGAATTCCAAACAGTGATATTACTAACAATTTTACCTTCTCCATTTAATGATGCATTTAAAAAATAAACATTCAATGAATATTTGATCTTTGGAAAGCAGCATGATGTAGCTGTGTATAAGGATGATTGAATAGTTTCTACTTCATTACTTATGGATATTAAACTGCATCATCTATTAAGGATAAATATTTTTGAGTTACTGGACTCATAATCTGTACTCAAGACTACTGAGGAAATCTGGAGTCAGCCAATATTGATTTTTCATAAGACTTGGGGAAAATCCAGAACTTTGGGGAAGTGCAAATGTTACACCAATATTTGAAAAGGGCAAGAGATGACAGAAATAATTACAGGTTAGTTATTTGACATAAATCCTGGACAAAATGTTGGAAAAGCTGATAGGGACTGTGATGGATTGGAGCATCTCTCTATCAGATGGTCAATCCCATTTGTTTTTGTGAATATTGCTTTAATTCACAAATGATGCTGTGTATTCTCTCTAGCATTTTGACTTTTAGCTTGAGCTGGAACACTCAAGAAGCATCAGGACAAGTCCTTACACCAACTAGAGAGAGTTAACCATTAGGAATGACAAACAGCTACTACCCAGATGGCTTTCCATTCAGATGGAAACATCCAGGACCATGAGTTGGCTGCAGCCCAAGTAAACCTCTTCTCTCAGTACAGGTTTTGGGTTTTTATATTTTCATAGATTCATAGATGTACGTCGGAGGGGACCTGAGCAGATCATCAAGTCCGACCCCCTGCCCTGGGCAGGAATGAATACTGGGCTCATATGACCCCCACTAAGTTAAGCTCATATAACCCCAGTTAGGTAGTTATCAAGCCTCCTTTTAAAGACCCCTAAGATAGGCGCCAGCACCACTTCCCTTGGAAGCTGGCTCCAGATCCTGGCCACCCTGACTGTGAAGTAATGTCTCCTGATGTCTAGCTTAAACCTACTCTCAATCAACCTGTGGCCATTATTCCTTGTTACTCCAAGAGGCGCTCAGGGGAACAGGGTCTCACCCATTCCCCTCTGGTCCCCCCTGGTAAGTTTATAGATGGCCAGTAGGTCCCCTTAGCCTCTCCTCGTAGGGCCTGCCTTGATGCCCTCTGATCATACGAGTGGCCCTCCTCTGGACCCTCTTGATGCTGGCCACATCTCTTCTGAAGTGCGGCGCCCAGAACTGGATGCAGTACTCCAACTGTGGCCTGACCAGTGTCACATAGAGGGGGAGGATCACCTTCTTGGACCTGCTCGTGATGTATCTGTGGATACATGATAAGGTGCGGTTAGCCTTGCTGACCCTGTCCTCACATTGGTGGCCCATGTTCATTTTAGAATCAATAATGACTCCAAGATCTCTCTGCCACTGTGCTTTCAAGAAGGGAGTTCCCCAGCCTATAGGTATGCTGCTGGTTCTTCCTGCCCAAGTGCAGTAGTCTGCACTTGTCAGTACTGAATCCCATCCTATTCACATTTGCCCACCCCCGTAACCTGTCCAGGTCCAGTTGTATCTTGTCCCTCCCTCACCCCAAATCTTGGTGTCATCAGCGAATTTGAACAGGGTGCTTTTCACCCCCTTGTCCAAGTCGCTGATAAAGAAATTGAACAGTACGGGCCCAAGGACCGAGCCCTGGGGGATACCACTGCCTGCCTCCCTCCAGGTTGAGTATTTTGTTTATATATATTTTGTTTCAAGGGCCAAATCTATTCCAAATTCACTTGGGAAAATCCCAAGGGTCACGTTCCAAATTTCAACTGAGCAGAGCTCAATCATTCAAATCTAGGAGGCTCTCAGTACAGATCTGATCACTGAATCACTTGGTGAGGAACCAGAAGCAGCTTTAAGGGAGAATGGTCATCTGATAGAAGAGAATAGAAAAGAAAAACGTTTTGCTGAAATTTGTCTGTCCCT